CACCAGACCCCCACCCCCACCCGACCTCAGCCTACCCGCTCGACCATCCCCAACCCCACGGTACCGACCCCGCCCCGAACCCCCTAGCGACCACCCGCCCTTCGCGCGTTCCGCTCCCCACCTGCTCCGCCGCCTACCTCCCCGCACCGTACCACTGCCACACCGCAGCTCATCCCGCGCTCCGCCTGGACCCGGCCCAGCCCCCCTGCCACCCCCGCCCAGGGGCGCCCTGCGGGGGCCCCCCCCTCACCCCGCCCACCGCGCTTCACCGCGCACCCATTCCCCTCCCCCTCCTTACAGTTGACCACACAATGATTTTATCTGCCTAACACTCGGCCTCTCTGGGGTGCTGTCCAACAAATGGTTTCTTCTACTTCTTATTTAACTGACAGTAACCATTCATGTAAGTTTGGTGTACCTGCTCACTTATGGTCCTTTTTAAAAGCTCATGTGTGGTGTGCCCAGGGTGCCATTTTTTGGTCCAGTCCGTTCTTATCCTGTACATGCTACATCTTGGCGGTGGTCGTCTGGAGCATGGAATTAATCGTCCACTGTTATTCAGATGATACTCAGCTGTACATCTCCATTGTCTCTGATGACACTCAGGCCAATGGGATGCTCTTTTTTAACTGCCATTTTAGTCCTGAAATCCTGTTAGGGATGGCAAGGAAAAATTTTCTCCAGCTGTAACAGGACAAAACTGAGTTTTTAGTCATCGGTCCTGAGGCCAGAGAGAGAAATTTTATCAATATCAATCACATCTTTTAATCCATCTCACAAGTGAAAAAAAAATCTGGGCGTAATCTTGACTCTGAGTGACTTTTATTCCTCACTCAAGGTAGTTATCACAAAAATTGGTTTTTATATCTAAAAGAACATCGCCTGAGTCGCCCATTTCTCTCTCTCGGGTGGCAACACGGAGTCGTGATGCATGCTTTTTATACCAGTCGCATTGACTATTGTAATGCCATGCTCTCTGGTATTCCCAAAAAGAACATTGTAAGTCTTCAATTACTCAAACTCGGCACCCAGCAGTGGCCAAGACTAAGACCTGGGGGCTGGGACCCATTACACCGGTTTTAATATCGAACTATCAAGCTATTGGTCCCGTCGTATGTTTCAGCATCGATTTTTAGGTTCTTTTAATGGTTTTTAATGTCTTAATGGTCTTGGGCCCTTCTTATCTTTAGATTTGGTTTTATCCTATGAACCTTCGGCCCCTGCGGCTTCTCCGGCAGCAGACTCTAACCATCCCAAAGTCAGGACACACACCTCACGGGATTGGCATCTTACCAGAATACGGCTCCCGTCTCTTGGATACGTCTGCCGGAGGGAGTCATGGCCGCAGAGATCGTTCATATTTTTAAAAATAGGCTCAAGACCGCACCTTTTTAGATAGCTTTTGATTAGTTTTTATTATTACTTTCTATTTATCTTTTATTATTTATTATTTATTATATTGCTTTGCTATTATTCATGTATGGTGTGTTCCTGTTAGTCTCACATTTTAGTTGTTTTTACTTATTGTATTGGTTTTAGTGTACCCAGTGTTTCCTCTGGTAGGAGTCCCTCTGCCACGGGCGGAGCTGTGGGGTCGGCTGTGGCTGCGTGGAGGGTCGGTTCTTCGGGCCTGGTGGGGGGCTGGGGCCTCGGTTTCATGTCTCCTGGGGTCCTGTGTCGTCCCTGTGGCTACGGGCGGCTCTATGCTCCTGGTGCAGACGGCTCCTTGGATGTCGCTTTTTCAGTGGTTGCATCTGAACCCTGTGCCAGTCTGCTCTCTGATTTATTGTTTTACTGGTGTGTGTGTGTGTGTGTGTTGTGTGTGTGTGTGTGTGTGTTGTGTGCTGGGTGGTGTGTGTGTGTGTGGTGGTTGTGTGTTCATGTGAGCGTGTGTGTGTGTTTGTCTGTGGTTAGGGGGGGGTTGTTGGGTGGTATGGGGGGTGGGGTCTTGGGCCGGCTATCGGGGATTGTTTGTAACCAATCTGTAAAGCACTTTGTGTTGCATCTTATGTATGAAAAAGCGATTTATAAATTAATATTTGATTGATTGATGATTTGTTGATACATTTACAGTATGTCCTTTAAAAACATGGCTGATCTAGGTTTACCATTGTTTTATTTTGTCTGTAGTCCTTTCACAAAACAGTGTGAAATTCTAAGAGGTGGTTTTTTTTTTTATATTTTTTTTGCAATTTTTGCAAATAAATAATTACAATCATACAAACATGTACAATATTGTTTCCTCATCATCTAACATCTTAAAACGTCTGTTTGTACATACAAATTATAATTACATACTGACACATTATGTGTTAGTGGGAAAAATGAGATCAAAATCCACCTGTTTTTTTTTATTGATAATTGTTTTGTCAGTTAGGTTGTTGTGAATTACAGCGAATAATTCAGGTTTCTGAAATTTCAATCCAAAACTTTCTGGCTGCGTAATTTAAAACTGTGTATTTATGTTTAAAAAACTGTACACCAACCCCCCATCACCCATACCCCACCCCCCCAAAAATCTACCCTAATAAAGCTCTTTTAACAAAGTTTTTTTCAAACTCAACCAAGTTTATATTTTTTCATTCCCATTTCCCTTAGTTTGGTACTCCTGTCTTTGAACATGCAAACCAAGCTGACAAGTCTATTTGCATCTTTGTTAGGACACAGATCATTGTTTTCAAACTGTTTTGCAAAATGACTTATTTTAAGCTGCTTTTAACGTCAAAAGTCTGCACTGGCGGTTTCACAAGGTACTCGCGGTCTTCTTACAACTGATGACATGCAGAAATGGTAAAACACACTTTATTTGCAATCCCAGGCCATAAAAACTAAGGCAAGCGATTATGAACGGTGTGGTGGTGGGATTTCCCTCTGTTTGCATGGCCTGATAAATTGGCCGGTGCTTGGTGTCTGTATCAAGGAGAAGTTCTTTGTTCCTTTTTTTACAAAATGGCTTAACATGAACAAGCTATATGGCACAACGTAAGGAATGACTACTGGACATTACACATGCCTTTTGGATACAATCCCAAACAAACACAAGAAAGGTGAAGTTCTTGGAAAATGTGAGAGCAGAGGAACCCCACTTGAATGAGCACAGTCAAACAAACAGAAGTGTTTTGTCACTAAAGGTTGAAGCACAGGACATACTTTTTGACAAATTGTAACAGCAGTTGGTGTGTAAGGTTTATTTTCACAGTACATCACTTGATGGTAAGTCTGTGCACAATGTCTGAGATAACAAAAATTCACTCATCTAAAGATTTGATATTGGATTGTAATCTTGATACAATGGTACGAACCCCAGCTGGTACGCCTTAGACCAGGAATATTAACTTTCAACACTCTTTCATTGTCAGATCTGGCAAGCTGGGAGGTCAAAGGGAGATATTTTATAGGCGGTTACTATGGATCTTAGAGAATTTATTATTTTTCTGTTGTGAGATGTGTGTTTTTGAGGCTTTCTCCCATTCAAATATTGTGTTAAATCACTGTAGCACCTGACCCATTTTTCATCATCTAAACCTGCGTAAAATATCCTAACCCCTACTTATATGGCACTCAACAATGGGCCTATTCTATATATTCCTGTTAAAATTCAGATGCTGCAGGCCGTAGTGAGAAATTGTTCTTTATCCCCACACTCCACATAAAGTCTATGTGCTGTTTCTGGCTCCCTTCTTCGCACTTTCTGTTTATCCTTGGTTAAAGGAGAAGCTAAAGTGCTAGGGAGTGCTTCCACAAAAAAAGAATGACTGATCAAACGCACTCATCACGAGCTACAATGAACATGTTCCAGGCGCGCTTTAATGGCTACACGAAGGTCCTCCAATTCTTTTCATTAATATTACGGATAGGAAAACGTGAATTCTATCAGTACATATGGAAGAATAAAAGACTAGATTGTTTACATTTAAACACATGCAGTTTGATTGTTCCAGGCAAAACAAGTTGTTGATGATTGATGTGATGGCACACCTTTTTAAACAAGATGCACTGTATCTGAGCCTTATGGGGGGTTTGCAGTCAATAACGATATGGTTCTTTTTACCTTTTGAAAAGTGTGTACTGAATTTAATACTTTCTTTTATTCTAAATTGTCTCCGGTGACTTCTCCTGATGATTATTATGAAAAGATTGAGGAATTCGTGTTGCTTATTAGCGCGTGGAGTCTTGTTCTTTGTAGCTGTGGATGTGTGGTTTGATCAGTCTAGTCTTTTGGAAAAGCAATCTTGCACTTTAGCTTTCTCTTTACCAAGGATAAAACAGAAGTGCGAGAGTGCCAGTAACAGCAGCATAGTCTTTTATGTGGAGGTGGGATGGTAAGAACAAGTTTCACTTAGGCTTGCAGCATCTGAATTTTAACAGGAATAGAAGGATTTAGGGACATTGTTGTGTGACCTTTAATGTAGGGTTAGGTTATTTTACGAAGGTTTATGATGAATGAAAAATGGGTTCAGTTGCAGGTTGCTAAAGTGATCTAATCAAATAATTTGAATGGGAGAAGCCTAAAACACATCTCACAACAGAAAAAATATAAGATTCTCTATGATAATTGTTTCGCCTATAAAATATCTCCCTTTGACTCAGCTTGCCGATATGACTTGTGGATAAGAGTGTTTGGAAAGTTATATTTCTGGTCTAAGCCAGTACCAGATGGGGTTCGTCCTTTGTATCAAGATTACAATCCAAGTTATCTAATCTTTTAGAGAGTGAATTATGTGTTATCTCTATAATTGGGCATCACTACCTTTCAAGTGAATGTACTGTGAAAATTAACCTTAAACACAACTGTGGTTACAAATTTGTCAAAGTATGTCAGGTGCTTCACCTTTAGTCCAATCATTTGGTTGGTTATGGACTGTGCTCATTCAAGTGGGTCGGGCCAGCGGGAGTATTAAGGTAAACACAGTTAGTCTAATGCAGTCATGTCAAAATCATTTTAGTTGGAGACCGAATCTATAAAGTGATAGCTGGCCAGGAGCCAAAAATAGGAAAGTGGTTTTCTTAGTGGAACAGTTTTTTAAGTTCATAGTTTGCGTCTAAGGACATCTATTTCACATCAAAGGTCTGAGGTTTGAACCAAAATGGCGGACAACGTTATTGTGGCCAGGTGCTTTACCGCAATCAGCTCACGTTCTACCAGGACCGGATTAAACAGCAGTGTGATGAAGGAGCATCAGCAGCAGAAATGGTGACTCGCCAACACAGATCAGAGAATCAAACCGTTCAAACACAGCAAAAGCAACAATACAAAAAAAAGTGACCAATGTCCATGAATTTGAATAGATGTCCATAAATGTCCATCACCGCTGTCCCTAAGGACCCTCCTGCATCGGCAAGGGGAGGCCCACACCAAGGATCTGCTCCCACGGACGGACAGGAGATAGATCAAAGACTCAGGTTGTAGAACGAGGACAGTGAAGACAGTCGACGGGATGCCAGAAGGAGGCCAGACCCATCATCAAAGCCTTGACACCTTCTTGTGTGTGACCCCGCTCCCATCTCTGTCTGGAGTGAGAGGACAAGTGCCCAAAAAAATAATAACAATTGTAAACCGCTTTGTGACCCTTGTCTGTGAAAGGCGGTATATAAATAAACATTACTTACTTACTTACTTACTTACTTACTTACTACTTACTTACTACTTACTTGTAGGGCTGATATGGCCATAAAGTTGAATCTTAGTTTTAATGTCCCTTTTAGCCGGTTACCAATTTAAAATAGATTATAACCAAAGTCATTGTAAAAAGCTCAATATTTGAATTCCAAATACCCAAACGATCATAAACGTATTGTACAGACGCTGACATCTCAAATAAAGTCAATGTCTGTTTTCAGCAAAACTACGAGAAGCAGAGGCCAGAAGAAACCTGCTCACTACCCAGAACTCTCTTTCAAGATTTAGACATTTCTGAACATCTTAGAAAGAAGTTAATTGATCAAATTCATTTCATCCATTGTCCAACTTACTTTCTTGAGTCTGATTTAAAGTTAATATGCTTCTGCCAATCAGCATCAGAAGTTCAAAATACTGTAATTTCTCAAAAAACTAAAAGATAGAGGTTGTAAAAACATTGCTTTCAGAGATCTACAATTAAGAGTTCTCCAGAATCAACTTCCGTCAACTCTGCTAAATCTACTATATACTTTGAGCTACAAAAAATACTGCAGTTCCAAACAAAATGCATGTTGACAAATCAAAGTTGTTGTAAGAAAGTTTGCACTAAAGCCTGGAGGTACATCAACAGTTGTACCTTCTAAATAACTCATTACATTTAATTAACTGTGTTTTTCGAAGCCCTCTCCGGACAATTTGAAATGTTAATATTCGTGGAGCGCTCAAATCCCGTTGCGGTAATGTGCTGTGATAGCTGTCACTGCACACGGCACTCTCTCCAACTGCAAATGTGAAAATATGTATTCTGATCCGATGATAAGTGCCGAGGATTTTTAATCAAAATGCTCAAGGAGAGAGTTGTTGTGAGATAAAGTGCCATGAGAGACTGTACTGCTGGAAGAATTGAACAAACAAAAAAGTCTTAACTCTTCTGTATGCGAATGATCAGTTAATTTAAAATCACATTTAGACTTTTGGTAGTAACAAACTTGATGAATAGGGATAACCTAGGGAGTTTTTTCACTTTCAGTTTGTACACTCAAAACTGAAAGTGTAAAATGCTCAGAAAAGTTGAGGTGCGGCAGCAGGACCCACCGGGCCAATGGACGGTCCAAATGGAAGTCAGAGAGAGCCTGGTCTGGATCCGGTCAGCACTAGATCATATAAACCCATGCAGCTTAGGTCCTGGATCATTAGCCCGTCCGTCCGTGTGGAGCGGATCCCTCTTTCAATGTGGGTCTCCCCGAGGTTTCTCACTTTGTTTCCCCGTTGGGTTTTTGTGATTTTTTTTCCTTGCAGATGCAGGAGGGTCTGTTGGGCAGTTAGTGTCCAACTAGAAGGACTGTGGTGATGATCCAGGACACTTTAAACATTCTACAATACACTCTAAGACATTTATCAACATACATGGACATTGGTCTCTCCCTATGGACCAAATCATATGTGTATATTTTGTGTCTTAACTGTTGATTCTCTGATCTGTGTTGGTGATTTCAATGGTTTTGTTAAGTCTTCTGAGGTGACGGCTGTTGCGATTTAAGACTATTCAAGAATAAATTGTTGTTGTTGTTAAGGAATAAGGACGGATGTAAATATAACCAACTTCCTATTCATGCCTAAACTTAACCAGCCATACCCTAACCTTCACCATCTTACTTACTAAAACTTAACCAGTGACCACTAAAGGACTTGTTATTCTAAAACTAATTTGAAAGTAGGATTGTTACTTCCGCTTCCGTCCCGATTCCGTATATGATCTAGTGCCGACCATCTGGATCCAGGCCCTTTATACCTACCAGCTTATTACTGCACTTTATGTTAACAAGCACTGTGTCCTTCATTGTCAGTCCTGGTTTAGTCCTGGTTTAGTCCTGGTTTAG